GTGTCATGCTCGGGCCACCCTCCTGTCGGCACTCTGGTCTGCACGCAAGGCCTGCTGTGGGCCGGCCCGCACCCTGGCGTTGAGGCCGCCCTCTCTCTCTCTTTTTCCTGCACTCCCACCCCGGGCCCTCCTAGCGCTATCTGGCTGCCCTGGACTCTGGCGGCCACACGGGTTGGCAGTTTAAGCCCATGAGCAGCGCCTGACCGCTGTGGTGGCTGTGTCCTGAGTGACAGGTACTGACCCACCTGGGTCCCCTGCCCTGCACCGCCTGCGCACCCACACCTCCGTGCCTCACACCCTTTGCTCACCGCTAGCCCATCGCCAGCGCTGGCTCATCAGACAGGTCCCAGCGCTGTCTTGGCTCAGCGCCCACGGGGCCAGCTTGCGGCAGTGCAGGCGGGTGGGCTTTGTGGCCCCTAGCCCAGCCACAGAGACCCTGGCCCTGGGCTGTCACCCTCGCATCAGGGGCAGTGAGCCCCTGCACAGAGCCCCCTCCTCACCCCGGCCCAGCTGCAGCTGGCCCCTGCCCATCTGTCACCTCCCAGCGAGCCGGCCACCCAAACCCGTGTGCGCGTGCACGCCTGTGCCTGGCACCCTGGGGTGCGGCCAGCAGGCCCGGCCCTCGAAGGGCCGCCCCACGTGTCTGGAAGTGCACACAGCTGCGTGCAGAGGGGCACACAAGCCGCTGCGGTCCTCACACCGCGCCGCGCGCCTGCTCGGGCTCGTCAGCGGTCTGGGCTGCTGCCCACCGTCCCCCAGCCCGTGCTGCACGTCCCTGGAATGACATGGCTCCCAGTGCCCGCCCATCCTCCTCCCAGCTCGCCTTCGTGGCCGCTGACGGGCGCTCACAGCCTTCCCCCTTCCAGGAGTCCCGGGAGGGCTCTCGGGGCCCAGGGGAGATCGTCTGTCCTGATGCGCGCACTGCGGTGTGTGGCCTCGGGTTCGGAGCCCCCAGGGATTGCTGGGGGCATGTGGCTGCAGGGTCAGCCTGCCAGGCTCCTTCCCGCTGGCAACCTCGGCACGTGCCTTGGCTTTTGTCCCCCGGATGGGCGTGTGGCCCCTTGCACACTGCTTGGTTTTAGCACATGTCTCTTCCACGTGTGTTCGTTGTGAGCACACGTGCACATGCATGTGTATCGAGTGAGGCCTTCATGCTTCAGGTTGGACAAGAGTGGCCGAGATGTGCTGGCTGTCCCCGTCCCCAGCTGCCTTTGTCCCTGCGTCCGTGACCCACAAGGAACCCCCAGTTTGGTTCCCATCTGAGTGGGTGGCAGCATCACCCCAGCCTGAGGGGCCTTGGTGGCTTGGGGTCTTCCCCTGGGGTGATGGGGCAGAGCCGCTGTGGAGGCTTCTCACTCCTGTGACCCTTGGGCACAGCCTGAGCCCACACACTCCTCCTGGCCGCCCAGCCAGGATCCCGCAGGGGGAGGAGGACCCGTGCCGGGTGCAGTGGGGAGCCTCCAAGCTCTGGTTCTTGCCGGGGCAGAGTGCTGCCTGGCCTGATGCCACACGCCCAAGTCGGGAGCAGGGGCTGCTGTGCTCATCTCACTGGGAGAGGACGCTGGTCCCCGTCCGGAGCCTGGGGAGTGGGCGGCCAGACCTCTGCCCCCCGGGGCTGTCACTGCCCCCAGCCCGGCCAGGGCTCAGGAGTCCAGGCCCTGGACCAGCTGGCCCCTCCCAGAGCCCCTTCTCCCAGGGCTCTGTCAGCTGTGCCGCCATGTGGTCCTGCCCCATCCCACCCCGGGGTGCTCCGGCACACCCCATGGAGGCCCTGCCCTGCTGTGCCCAGTGCCCGCTGACCACCTGCCCCCTCCCCTTGTCTCCCTGCAGTACACTTCCAGCATGAGAGCCAAGTACCTCGCCACGAGCCAGCCTCGCCCCAACTCCAGCAGCAGCGGGCACTAGACCGCCCGACAGCCACCCGCCCCACGTGCCAATCGCCCCACTCCTCCCCGGGCCGGCCTTGCTGCTTACACCCGCGGCTGCCTGCCGCACCCTCCGCACCCACCCCGGGCCTGCTGCCGGCGCGCTGTGGCCACTCGCCCCCCTCCTCCCCTTCCTGCAGGGGCGTGGAGATGCCCGGCAGGCTCCTGCTGGTGGCGATGCAGGGGCTCTGGGCCCGCACCCTCTCCTTGGCTCACACGCCTGGACACCTGGGGGTGCTGCCAGCGACGCCTGGGCCCTCCTGGCCCCCAGCCCCGTGCCCCTCTGCCTCCGAGGATTCGGGGATTTGCAGAGCCCTGCGCTGGGCCAGATGTGTCGTGCTGGTGCTGTCCCTGCGGACCCCTGCCGTCTCCTCGCCTGGCAGCTGCCCCGCCCCATCCCTCCCACAGCTCTGATGCTTCTCTGCTCCTTCGATGCTTCTGTGCCTCACCTCTTAGTTCATAGGCCGCGCGGTGCTCCCTGTGTGCTGGGCATCTGGAGGGACGGCCGTGTGGACCCACCGCCTGCTTGTCTCCCACGCGTGGAGACCCTCTTGTGGCGCCTTCACGTGCCTCTGCGGCATCTATAACTCTTTCCTTCCCTCGCCCCCCACCCCACCCCACCCCAGGCTCTGCATCGGGTCCCCACTTTCTCTGCTTCCCTCCCAGCAGCGCTCTCTCCCTCAGCACCCACCCCGCCTGTGGCACCCAGCCCTCCCCGGCGGCAGGAGACAGCAGGTGCCATGCGGAGCCCAGGCTGCTCATCGAGTGCTGGCCGCCCTCTTGGTGCCAAGACCCCTCCCCCACCCCAGAGGCTTGACAGCTTCATCCGGTTCATTTCTTGCACTAACCACATTTGTCATCTCTAGGGCAGGCGGGGTGGCGGGCCGAGTGGCACCCCCTTTTCGGTTCCCTTTCCATCCAGGACAGGCACAGTGTCCCAGAGCCGGCTGGGGGGCTGGACCCGAGCTGGCTGTGAATGTGCCCTTGGCCCCTGCCGCCCCTCTTGGGACTAACCACTGACCTCACTCCAGCCTCCGAGAGAAAGCACCCCTGGCCAACCCAAAGCCCGCGAGTGTGACGCTGAGTCCAGGCCGGAGTTGAGTCCCAGGATAGCCAGCTGGGAGTCGGGCTGGAGAAGGTGTTTCTTCTCGTGGTGCTGCTGGGGGGTGTCGAAGACCGAGAGGCAGCCCAAGGGCCTGGAGACCCCTCCCTGGGCAGGTGCTGCACCAGGGGACCGTGTCCTCAGGAATGAATGTCCCTTGGGCTGTAGGACTGAGGTCCCTGTGGCCTCAGTCTCCCTACCTGTGAAGCGGGAACAAGGCTTCCCTAAGGTGCTTTTGGCTTAGTGTACAATGTTTGCTGTGTTTCCTGCCGCAGGTGGGGGTGCTACCCCCAAATCAAGTTGGAAAGTCCCCTGCCAGTCCCAGCCCTGCCCAGCCAGCCTGAAGCAAGAGAGGCCAGGTGCAGCCTCTGCCCTGTGTCAGTCCAGGGGCAGCAGAGAGCCACTTGGCAGCCACACGAGGGCCCAGGCCGGGGCAGATAGCAGCTGGCCCGGCAGTTTACAGACATGGGGGGCTCTTTCTCCCAGAGCGGCAGGGCACCCCTTCCCCAGGGTGGCCTGGAAGAGGCCGCCTTCCTCTGTGATCCCTTCTTTGTGCTGGTATCTGGGACCAAAAGCATGGGTGGGCCTGGGACTAGGTCACATCTCCCCCGCTCCTGGGGCAGCCTCTGCCCTGGACGGGGTTGGGGGAGTGAGTAGGCAAACACGGGGGTGCTCCAGGTGGGCCTAAGGGCCCGCAGCCTCGCATCTGAGCCTTTGCACACGGCCAAACCTCACTGAAAGGCACCTTGTGCTCCAGGCCCCCCACTGTACACACACACACACATATACATACATATGGCGGTACCACAGCCCAACCGACAAGTTTTTCTGGGCTCCACCGCCTGGGCGGAGCATTCCTGCGCGGCCTCGGATCAGAGGGGAGGCGTCGGGCTGTGCTGCCTGCGGCGCCGCTCGGAAGCACAAACGGCCGCCCGGCCCGCGAGGCCGAAATGTGAATGTACGTAGCGTGAGAGCCGGGCGCCGGGCACCTGCGCCGCTCGGAGCCCCTCCGTGCGTGCGTCGTGTGCGTGTCTGCCCGCCCATCTGTGACTCCGCCCAGTTCCTTCTGCTCACTGAGGCGGAAGAAAGGAAAACGGGGGAGGTTAAAAGGGGTGCAAGACCAAGCGTCGGTCCTGGAGGGGGAGCGCATCTCGCCCTTGGTTTTCTTTTTGCTGTTTTAAGTTTTCAGACCGTTTCCTAACCCGTCCCGTCCCGGTGACTTACCCTCATCCGCTCCCACCCCTGCACCTGTGGTTCTTGCCCCTCGCAGGCCCTGCAGCATCTTGGGCAGTGGTCCTCTACCACGTGGATGGGAGGGAGACGCCCCGAGGCCCCTGACGGGCTAGGCGGGCAGGAGGGGTTCCAGTCCGGTCGCTCGCCGATGGGGCCCCTGGTGCAGGCGCACGCTTCCCCCAGCTCCCCTGGCCTGGTGTGGTAGGGCCTGATCGGAAGCCCTGATCCTATATACCCCTCCACGCCCACCCCATCTCACTATGCAATCCCAGTCCAAGCTCCATTCCCTCCCTACCCCAGGACCCCCGCCCAGGCCGGGAGGGGTGCGGGGGTGACAGCCCTAAATGGGGGGACGAGCGGGGACCAGGGCCTCTTGGGCGGGCTTTTTTTTTTTTTTTTTTAACCATAATGGTTGTGTGCCGCACCACTTTATACTTGTTACATATAATATATCTCTCGAAGTAATTTTGTTAAGACTTCCCCTCCCAGGTTTCTCTCCTGGCCCTTGCATCCCACCCACAAGGTGATTTAGCGTCCCGAGCGGGGAACTGAGGCCTGAACCGCTTGGCATTCTCCAACTTCCGTAGGGCCATGGCTGTATGTTGCTGTCGCTGTGTTTCTGGGTTTTTTTGTTTTTGTTTTTTTAACTGGGTTTGGGGTTTGATTTTTATTTCTCTGGGGGCTTTATTTTTCTTGGCAAATACTAAAAATCTCGTCAATGTAATTTCTGTGGTTTCTATTCAGCTTGGGTTTCATGTTTTAAAATAAACAAATTTTAAAAAACAGGCCTCTTTCCCTGAGTTGTTTTGGCTCCCGCCCAAGTCTGTGGGCAGGGCGGCCACGTGCCGGGAGCCACTAGAGCCTGGGAGACCCTGATGGGCGGGGTCTCGCGGGAGAGGGGGCCTGACGGGGCGGGGCCTGGTGGGCGGGGCGGGGCGGGGCGTCAGGTGTGCAGAGCGGCTGGCGCTGGGAGCGGTGGTCTCGACGGCTTGAAAGCCTCATTTGCAATCTGGGCTTGCGCTGGAGGGGCCTGAGGAGACGCGGATTGCTGTGATGAGGGCCCCGTCTCTGGCCAGCAGGAGAGGTGACAGACCTGGCCCTGGGCAGGGCTGTCGGAGCGGGTCAGAGAGGCCAAACGGGAGGATGGTGTGTCTCCAGGAGGAGCATCTCCTGAGTCCCCACTGTAACCCCAGGCGGGGTTCCCAGTGCTTCCCCGGGCGCCTCGCTGCCCACTGGCCTCGCTGGAGTCCTTACCAGTGGTCTGAGCAGAAACTCAACCGCCGCCTGCCGAGGTAGAGGGATCATTATTGTTCTCATTTGAGAAGCGGGCTGGGGAAGGCGCCGTGTCGTCGGAGGCCACATAGCCCAGCACATCACCCTGGGTGGCAGGAGAACCCGTGGAATGGGGGGAGGCACGTTTGCCCAGGAGAGTGTTTGTCTTGCATGCCAGGTGCACAGGTGGGCGAGGGAGCTGCGAGGCCCGGTGGAAGACACCAGGCTCCCGTGGCATTGCTGGCGCTGAGGTTCCTGGCTCTCGGCGCTATGAGTGCCTGGGTTGGCGGGGGCACAGGGCGGAGCTTCTGCCTCCAGCACACACCAGCAGCCTGGCCCAGTGGTTTGCGTTTTGACTTGGCTTCTGGGGAAGGGGGCCCAGGATACATAAGCTCTGATGGGGGGATGCTAAGCACCCAGGAGTGGAGGCATCTGGGGCTCCGTGCTTCTGCGGTGCCATGTGGGGACAGCATGAATTGTCTCTCGTCTTAGGTTTAGCTGCCAAGCAGAAAAATCGTGCTATAGCTGGAGTGGGCGTGGCCCAGAGAAGTGTGTGTGTGTGTGTGTGTGTGTGTGTGTTTAAGGTGGGGAAATAACAGCATGCTGTGAAGGCTGATGGTAATGGTCCCGTAAGCAGAGGAAATGGCTGCAGCAGGGAAGACGAAGAGTTCGTTGGGGGAGTGATGTTCCTGAATCACCAGGAGGGGCTGGGACCTAGGTCACAGTGGAGGGGCCGGCCATAAACAGGACTGCCGTCCCTCCTGCTGGCCCGGTGATGAGAGCATATGTGCGGCTTGGGGCTGGGGTGGCAGAAGGTCTTATGAAGTAGAGAGGAGGCTGGAGAGGAAGCGGGGTGCCATGGGAGAGCCAGGGGCAGGGGCAGTGGGCCTCCCCAAGGGCCCCTGAGGCGCTTGGTCTGGAACTCAGGTGAGACTCACCAGGTGGGAAGGCAGTCCCTCCAGCCACCCAGGTGTGGGTAGTGAGCAGGAAGAGGGCCGGATGCAACAGGTCAGAGACTACGGGCTTGGCCAAGAGAAGATGTGGAAGCGAGAGAGGCCAAGGGAGGTGAAGGCGACTTCAAGGGCATGACTGGACCCTGGGATTTCAGCCAGGGGAGGACAAGCCCTTGAGGGATGAGGGATCTGGGGTCCAGTGGGGGTCAGGAAATCGGAGGGAGTGAGCTGGAAAGATAGGAGGTGGAGGCAGAGTGGGATGCCATGGGGTAGGCAAAGTGTGAGGAGTGACTGTGGAGGGGCAACCAAGGCGGGGGCGGGGCAGGTTGTTGGGGGGCAGGTTGAGGGGATGCCAAGGGTGTGGGAAGGGTCACTGACACCCAGTCACCAGGAGCAGTGTGGGAGAAAGTGGCCCCCAGGACGAGGGGGCCTGTGGATACCCACATGGGGGAAGGGACAGCGGATGTTGTGATCCTGTTGGGGGAGGGGCCGGGGGCCGGGGAGAAGGGTCTGCAAGTGGCCGCAGGAGCATCTCCAGGAGTGAGGTGTGAGGAGGGCAGATGCCCGGCAGGGGGCACTGAGTCCGCAGAGGACGAGAGGCTACGGGCAGGGCCGGACGGACCCTGTTGGAAGACCCACCTGGAGTCCTAGATGGGCTGGGGCAGCCCAGGAATCTGCGTTCCCAGCAAGTTCCCAGTGACCGCCGGCTGCTGATCTGGGGCTCAGCTGTGACTACCACGTTCAAACAGGAAGTGAGCGATCACTTGGCAAGGATCTGGGGATTTCACTGGGATGAGCCAGGAGGAGATGTGGCCAGCCCTGCATCAGAGCCAGGGGACAGGACAGTGACATGGGTGGCCTGGGGTGGCCTGCAGCATCCAGCTCAAGCCTGCCTCTTGACATCACACATACCGCACCAAAATATTGGTAATAACCAATAGATTCCAAATATTGGTAATATACCAACTATTGGTAATAACCAAAGATTCATGATGTGAACTTTTAAGAGCAAGCAAGGGGCTGCAGAGACGGTCTCCCCTCCCTGTCACTCGGGGGCTGCACCCCTAGATCCGTGTCGGGGTCCCGGGAAAGGTGGATTCGGGCTGGGAGAGGAATCACCAGCTCTGGCCACCAGGCGGTGCCCAAAGACTATGGTGGGTTATACATGGCGGGGTGGGCCCCTGAGGCCTGGGCAGGGGCAGTAGGGGGCATATGCGGAGGGAAGCAGCCACAGCTCTGAGCCCCCAAATTCAGCAACCTCCAGGGGCCAAGACGAGGAGCCCCCTGGGCCCTGGGCCCCTCCTAGCGCTGGACCACTTAAGTGCCTTCTGTGTGCCCAGCCCTAGGCTCAGAAAGGACTTGGGAAAGGGGTCACCTCCAAGAACATTTGGCAAAGTTGGGCCTGAGGTGGCAGCAGGACCGGCCAGTTGGTCTGGCAGACGAAAAGATGAGGCTGGCACTGGTTTCCCCCCGCACCACTTCCGCTCTGACCCCAGACCCAGAGAGGGCAGGACTGGCTGAAGCCTCCAGCAGGTCAGGCCTCTCGAACCATGGATGGAGCCTATGGAAAGCTCCACAGTGGTTGCAACAGGTGGAGGAGGGTCGTGGAGACCCAAGTCCTGTCTCCCAGCCCCCCAGGCATGCTGACAAGTCCCACCTCTGCACCTTTGCCCAGGTTGTGCCAAGACCTGGAACATCTTCCTCTCCCCACTCTGCTTCCCACTCCAGCTCAGATGTGCCTCTTCGGGGGAAGTTGGCTGTGATGGCCCAGCTGAAGGGAAGTTCGTTTAAACTGAGCAGGGAGGGACCCCACCCTGGCACCCTTCTCAGCCCCTCCAAGACCTGGCTCAGCCGCTGCTCTGGCCAGCTACCCCGGCACTCACCCGCGGGCAGCAGGGTAGCTGGGGGGCGGGGGGGGCGCCCAGCAGCCCCAGTGGTTGTGCTTTTACTTTTTATTTTTGAAAGCCCACAAGTGATGGGCAGTTTGGGAGGGCCAGAGTGGGGGATATGGAGCCCCTCAAGCCAGCCAGGACCCTCCCCAACCAGCCACTAGCCCAGCGTGTGGTTGAGGGGCGCTGACGCCACCAGAGAATGAGGCATGGCTGCCCCCAGTCGTGCCTGCAGAAGGGAGGTCACCTCTTCTGCTCCGTGACTCATCTTGGGGCGGGGGGAGAGCACCCCCTGCACACCCCTGAGGGCAGCGGATGGAAGACGTCAGGCTGCCCGGTTCCTATAAGGCCTCCTGGACCTGCTTCCCCTTCTGAGGAGGGAGAACTTCCCTCCTCCCTCAGCTTCTTGTGTAAGAGGAAAGGGCCGAGGTGCCGCTAGTCTGTGGCCCTCTGTGACCCCTGCAGGCCCGGAGCACTGGGGACTCAGCGCCGCTTACATTTATCCCCCTTTCTCAGGTGGAGGTCGAGGCTCCAGGAGGGGCGGGGCTTGCCCCCCAACCCTGGGCTCCTCTGCTCTGCTGTCCCCCTGCTCGGTGCCCCCAACCCATGCGGGGACAGCTTGGACTAACTGTGACCTACCGATGGCCCCAACTCTGATGCAGACTCCACCTGCCCCGGGGTCCCGCCAGCTCTGTGCAGAGGCGATGCCAGCTGCTGGAGGAGGGGCACTGGGGCCTGGGCTCCACACGCTGCCAGGGCAAAGGCTCCTGTGACTCACGCTGGCAGGAAGGAGGCCCATGGCCTCTGCCCACAGGTGGCAGCAGTGGTGCTGTGAGCCCCTCTCCCCTGCCATGCCCCCACCCAGCCTGGCACACAGTGGGTGCTGAGGGGAGTCTGGGGGTGTCCCCCAGACAGGGGTCAGTGTGATGGTGAGGGGCCCTCTCTCCCTCCCACTGTCCCAGTCACTGCCACACCCCCAGGGCAGCTGCTCTGGAAACCGTGCTGCTGACTCAGGGCCATGCAAGGTCCAGCTGGGGTCAGGCCCTGGCCAGTTGCTCCCCAGGACAGGGCAGGCACCAGCAAGGGCTGTGAGGAAGGGGTCCTCTCCAGCCTGTTGGGGGCGCTGAGTATGTGACTGGACCGGGAGGGGCTGGCATTCTGCCCCCAGCTCAGGGATGGGAAGTGAGGCGCTCTTCAAACCACTCTGTCTGCTTTCTGATGTGTGGACAGGGCTAAGCATGGAGCAGTGGGGAGCGAGGAGGTCATAGGGAACAAGGAGCCCCAGGTCCTAGCAAGTACCCACGGGGGTGGGGCTGGGGCAGCTGGAGGCAGGGAGGGGGGAGGGGGGAGGGGGAGGGGGGGGGGGGGGGGGGGGAGGGGGGGGTGCAGGGGGAGGGTGTGTGTGTCCAGGCTCAGTTTGAGGAAGAGGAACTGAGGGCCGCCCCAGGCTGCCTGGGAGGGTGGGAGGAGGGGATTCCCCAGCTGAGGCCAGAGCAGCCCCTCCCCGCTCCTGCCATCACAAAGCCTTGATTTGAGGAAGGGCCAGAGGAGCTGCTTTCTGTAGAAAACAGGGCAGAGACCCGTCCAGGGTCAACAGGCTCCTGGGACCCGTCCAGGGTCAACAGCATGGGGTGGTGGTGAGGCCAGGATCCAAGGTCAGCCTGATCTCGGAGTTTGAGCTCTTCACCAGCCCGGCTGCCTGACCTTGGACATCACATCACCTGCTCCGAGCCTCAGTTTCCCCATCTGCAAAATGGGGCAAGAATGTGGCCTCTATGGGCTTGTGACAGAGATGAAGCTGGGTAAGGAGGTCCCAGGTCAAGCCACAGCCACCCCCTGTCCTCCTGAAGGGAGGGCTGGACCCTCTGGCAGCTGTCCAGGGGCAGGCCAGCACAGATCAGGGCTACAGAGTCTTAGAGCTGCTTGTCGGAGTGAGACCTGTACATCCAGAGGTCTCCCCTATGTCCGAGGGTGCCCTGGGCTGGTCATGCCTCTCAGGTACCTGGAAGTTGCTATTTAGATCCCAAGTTCCCTTCCCACAATAGCTGGCTTGGAGGTCTCTACACACCTCCCCCACACGAGTGCAAACAAGCCCCCAGCCCCCCTGGTGCAGCTTCCATGAACCTGCAGCTCAGGCCCAACTTCCAGCTGAGACCAGGATGCCCATGTTGCCCCAAAGAGCATCTTTATTCGCGGCAAAGGACGTCACCATAGCAACACACTTCAATTCCCTGAGAACTTTTCCCTTATCGTTCACTTTCCTAGCTATGTCTTTGCAGAAGGAAACACAAAAGACAGAACACACCTCACTGGTCAGGTGCGCCGAGCTGGGCTGGTAGGAGACAGGTTCTGTGCAGGAGGTGGGCAGGGAGAGGCCAGATACCACGACATATAAATACATAGAGTGTTAGACATTTCCATCAGCTTTAAGAACAAAGATTATCCCAAGTTTGGCTTCTGCTTTTTCTGATCCACAGAAAAGATAAAATAGCGCCCTCCCCAACCCCCCGAAAACACAGACAAAAACACCCTACTTTGTACCCACCCCCTTTCGAAAAAGAAGCACAGTAAAAAATACTGTCACAATATTTACAGACACACCCACTATGGGTGACTTTCTCTCCACTTCGGAGAGGAGATAAGATCCTCAGCTGACTCCCCGTCACAAAGGGAAGATGGCTAAGAGAGCGGGGAAGACCCCTGCCCGGGATGGTGCCGTTCCCCAGGTACCCAGGCCAAAGCTCAGTGGGAGGAGGGGACTTGGGCCACACCCCCCAAACCCAGCTTTCTCGCAGCACTGAGCAGGGTGAGTTGTCCTGGGGACTCTAAGGAGCCAGGATCCCGGGGGGCAGGCGCCTGCAGCGCTGGGCCCGCGCTCGGCAGGAGGGAAAGGCACCTGCACATCGCTGCAGAGCAGCCCCTGGTCCCCATGCTGCCCAAAGACCCCAGAATGATAATAAACCTGCCCTCAGAGTGGCCTCTGACTTACAAATCCTTCTGGGGTGGAGCATGGAAAGACAGACAGGTGGTGCCTTGCCTGTTCCTCGGCAGAGCAGAGCTGCCCAGCAGTCTGCTACACGGATGGGCACACAGTACACACACACACACGCACAGCCCTGGGGGAGCCTCGAATGCCAAGGCCAGGGCGGCACAACAGAGGTCCCCGGGCCCTTTGGATACCAGGGGTGCCCGGGGACAGGGTTTCAGCCATAGCTGCTAGAAGATGGCAGTGTGGGGACACCAGGGTGTGTCCGGATACAGGTGGCAGTGGATGGAGCGGAACCTGTGGGGACAGAGTGGGGGGCTGGTCCGTGTGGGGTGCGGGTACTGAGCTCCCAGCACCGGGGGCCCTCTTGCACCCAAGCAGGCTCCTGGTCGTACTCTTTCATCACGCTGCTTAGCTGCGGCAGACCCCAAGGGACCCTAGGTGAGCCCCGCCCCCATCTGGGCCTCAGTTTCCTCACCTGGATGGGTCAGCCTCCACTGAGAAGGGCCCCTTAATGTGGACAGCATTCCGCTTGTTTTCAAACATGCCGTAGCTCAAGGTCACCTGCAGGGGGAGGGACACAGTGACGCTGGGAGGGGTGCCAATACCACCCCACCCTGCCCCTTCCCTCCTCTCCCAGCCGCTCTCCTCCGTCCCCATCCCTTCCTGGGCTGCTAGGCAGCGCACCTGCTCGTGGAGCTCGGAGGTGGGGACCTGCTGCAGGTTCTCCAGGTGGGAGTGGAAGAGCCCACTGCGGATGAGGGGCACGCCCAGCAGAGCCTCCACGATGTAGCCGATGGTGCAGTCGTCCGGCAGCCGGATCCGCTCGGCCGTGCTCATGAAGTGGCCTCCGCTGTGGGAGGGCCGGAGTGAGCCGAGGCGGGAGCTGGGCAGGAGCCCACCAGGCAGTGTCACCCTGGCCGGGCCCAAGAAGGAGGTGCACATGCCCGGCCTGTGTCCCTAACGGGCTCTCTCGCTGGCAGCCCCCCACCTCCCTGAGCCCCAGGACAGCCCCCTCCTCCGTACCAGCCAGATGATTCTCTGTGAGTTGGGGGTTACCGGACGCAGGAAGGGGTCCTGCCCAACCTGGGTGCTGACCACCCTGGTGGCTGTGGGCAGTGGTGGGACGACTCACCCTGCCAGTACACGTGAGGTTGGGGACACTGGTGCTGGGAAGATGAGTCAAGCCAGGCCCCAGCGGGGGGACCTTGCAACCTGGGGGCGCCCACTCACCTGGCCCGGGGCGCCCACTCACCTGGCCCGGCGCCCACTCACCTGGCCCGGGGCGCCCACTCACCTGGCCCAAGGCGCCCACTCAGCTGGCCCAAGGCACCCACTCACCTGGCCCGGGGCGCCCACTCACCTGGCCCAAGGCGCCCACTCACCTGGCCCGGGGCGCCCACTCACCTGGCCCAAGGGCTCATCTTCAGGCCCAGCCCCCGGCTGATGCAGAAGCCAGCCCCGCCGGTGGCAAACCAGAAGTGGACGGGCCGCTGCGGGAGGGGGCACATGGTGAGGCTCCCAGACCCTGCCCCCAGGCTGCAGGGACGCCTCCAGCCCCTCCCCGCTCGGCGCAGGCCTGTGTGGGCGGAACACTCACCACCCTGCTCTCGCTGACCCTCTCTGTGGCCTGGATGGGCCTGTCCAGGCTGGGCTTGCCGAGGTAGATGTCCTGCGTGTGCGGGTAGCTGGCCAGCAGCTTCAGCAAGGCCCGCACGTTCACGTAGTTATCGTCGTCCACGTGGCAGAACCACCTGCGGGGAGGCAGGGCCGTCAGGGGGGCGCGCGGGGGTCGGGGACTGCCGGGGCGGGAGCCAGCCCGAGGAGGGGACGCTCCCGGGCCCCAGCCGAAGGCCAGCACTCACTTCCTCCCCGATTCGACGAAGCGGTCATACTCCACGGCCATCTTGCAGGACAGCGCCTGGCGGCTGTGGGCAGCCGAGCAGTTAGTATTGACCACGTTGCCTGCGGACGAGGGGAGGGGCTGTGAGTGGGTCCAAGATGGTTCAGCGAGGGCGGCCTGGCCCAGGGTCACACAGCAAGCCCCGTGAGAGCAGAGCAAGAGAGGGTGGGTGGCAGTCTGTCTCGGGGCGCCCTGGGTTCAAGCCGTGCCTACGATGGCCTCCCCCTCAACCCCTCCCTCGAGCAGGACCCAGGCCCGGCGATCTCACCCCCCAGCCCAACCCCCTCCTAGGGGCCCCGCCCCGCCCCGCCCCGCCCCGCCCCTGCCCATTCAGGCGGCTTTTTCCCAGCACCAGCCACCTGTTGCCGCCACACCAGCTCAAAGGGCCCCGGGCGCTGAAAGGGCCTCATTTGCATGAGAATTGGGCGGGGGGGGCGAGTGGTGGGGCGGAGCGTTGAGCAAACCCCTTGAGTAAACTGCCATCCCAGGCCCGTGGCCTCGGTGACCTCTCCAGAGGGGAGGGTTTCCTCTGGGCGGGAGCCCCCCCCGAGCCTCCCCACGTCCAGGCCTCACCCGTGCGCCTGGCCAGGGCTTCATCTTCCCCGTCCGTGAAAATGTACGTCTGCAGGGAGAAATACGGCCTTGAACAGGCAGCTCTGTGCCCCGGCCACCGTGGGGTCCAGGGCTGGGCACCCTGCGGCTTCACAGGGATCCTGCAGTCACACCCATGCCCCACCTTTGAGCCTCAATTTCCCCACATGCAGAGTGGGGCTCAAGTGCCTACCCTGAGTGGAAGTGGGCTGGGGGCCCAGGAAGACCCCACCCCCTACCACCCCACCCCCTACCTCGACAGCTGGGCCCAAGGTCAGCCGGCAGCTGCGCCGGCACGAGCCAGGTGCGGTGCCCCGCCCACCCGCCAGGTAACCGGCTCCGGCCGTCCTGCACACCTGGCGGGGCACACACCCTTACTGACACAGTGCCCAGCCTGTGGGAGGGGCGGAGGGTGGGGGGGGCAGGCGGAGGAGGTCCGCTTTGGGAAGCCAAGTCTCAATCAGTCGGGGACAAAGGCCTCCGCTGGGCGGCCGCCAAGCACTGGCGGACAAAGGGCCCGGAGGGAGGATGAATCACCAGGCGTTGTCCGCCAGCTTTGTCCTGGGCCGCGCTGTGAGGGGAACTCGGCCGCGTTAAGCGGGAGTGGCCGCACAGCCCATTACCATACAGCTGGCCTGGTTAACTGGGCCGGGCTGGGCACAAGGTCCGGCGGGCTGGGGTGTGGCCACAGCCCTGCAGTCCTCCGGGCTGGGCTCTCAACACCGGGGCCTCCCTCGCACCCCTGGCTGCGTGACCAGCCAGTGCAGCCGGTCACCTTCTCTGAGCCAAAGCAGCCTCCAGGGTTCTAAGGAGACACGGTCCGCAGGGTTGAGGCGGGAAACCTCACGTGC